CAAACAAAAAACATAACTCCCCCAGAGAAAAGGCCAACCCTGCCCATGGGCATAATGTGGCCCCACTCACTTCACACCACTGTCCAATCTACTGAAGTTCTTGCCCCTCCTCAAATCTGCCCATGGACATAATGTGGCCCCACTCACTTCACACCACTGTCCAATCTACTGAAGTTCTTGCCCCTCCTCAAATGCCAAGGATGGGCTTTGGCCACCCAAAAATTGCCCAGTACTAGGCTAGTTACTCTAAAAGAAACTGGTTTCCCATAGAATAGAGCAGGGCTTTTTAGACTGAGTGATGTGGAATCCTAGAGTTCTGAGAGAACTTGATGGGGCTCCATGAGAGACTGGGGGGTGGGGGGAGAGATGTTTGCTTGAATACAACCAGGGATGCCAACAGCATTATTTCTAAAGTACAACAGAAAAGGCGGGGTTTGTTAGCTGACATTCAGAAGCCCCACCCCCTTCCCAAGGATATTTGTGCTTATGACGACTCATTATGTGCATCTGACAGCCAAGTAGCAAGGTTCTCAGATTTATTTATTTATTTAACGAACAGGTTTTGTGGAAAAAAAAGACTGAAAACCCTTGGAATAGAAGAGCAAAGAGGTTAAGCACTCTCAGTTCAGTCGGCTGGAAAAAATGATGCTAACAGGTAACGTTAAGTACTTCCATTATTAATTATTCAACTTCTAAAATGGCTGTTGCTCTGGAACCAGCAAACCTTCTTGAGTACGGCATTGCCCAGTTGGCACCTGAGGTAAGAACCAGCCTGGCCCAGGGGCCAAATATAATTCTCATGCAGGGCTCAGAAATGTAGGAGTTCCATTCATCGCCTTCCCTTGCTTGGTCTGCCTGCATTTTGGTTGACCCAGCACAAATGGTGGGGGCAGGATTTAGCACAAAGCCTGCTGAAGACAAATGGAACTACTTCTCAGATACACCAATCAGATCTCCTGTGCTTTTCAGAGAAGACACCAACTCACCCTGAGATGGAAATTTTCCAGAGCAAAGATTGAGCAACTCCTCCATGTCTGGCTTCTTGCCACCGTCTGGGTTAGGAGAGTGCTGGTTCTGTCCAGAATACATATCCAGCAGTTCACCCATATTGGCATCCATTGCATTCTCATCCATGCTAGCCAAAGGCAGACGGCTCTTGCAGGACTGATACTTGTTCCGGTGATGGCCAACGTTCAAAAATCTGAAAGTCAAGACTGGCTTTTATAAAAAGTCTGCTGCCCTTAGAGCTGATTCAAATAGCTTTGCTTAACCCTGGTTTACTGTGATGGAATGGTTTGGTGAAGGCTGCGCTCGGGGAGATAAGCATTTCCTTAGCCCTTAGCAAGAGCATGGGAAGGTTAAGAGGATGAGACTGGCACCACTCTAAGGAATTTGCAGTGTTTGCTTGCTGGCTTGGG